TTTCACCACTCTTGCCCTTGTTCTTCTGCTGAGAACTATTCTTCGACTGAAAATTGCTCTTGCCCTGCTCCTCGAGCCATTTATAGCAATTCTTCTTCATATGACCTTCTAGACCACAATGATAACACACATGTGATCTCCAATCATCTGATTGCCTCCCCTTGCTTCTACCCCTGCTCTTCCCTCTAACGCTTCTTTGTTGCTTGCCTTGTGGTCTTCCTCGATTCTCCATCACAAGGGCATGGGTCTGATCTGTGCCCATGTCTTTCCTTCTTGCCTCTTCATTGAATAAGGCATCCTTGACAACGGACATGGAAAGTTTGCCGTTTGAGGCTGAGTTGCTGAGAGTAACGAGTGTTTCCCAGCTATCAGGAAGGGAACTAAGAAGTAGCAGATATTGCATTTCATCTGCAAGCGGCATCTCCACACAAGATAGCTGATTTACCAGGCTCTGGAACTCACTGGTATGCTCGGCAACAGAAGTTCCACTTTTCAACTTCATATTCACTAAGCGCCTCATCAATAAGGCCTTATTCCGAGCGGTCTTGGCTTGGTACATGTCCTCCAGCTTCCTCCAAAGGACATATGCGTCGGTTTCTTGTGCAACATGATGGAAGACACTATGATCAATCCATTGTCGGATTTGACCAATGGTTTTTCTATTGATTTTCTTCTATTCTAACGCCTTGGACGGATCAGGGTTAATACTCTTCAGCTCTATTGGGTCAAAGAGCTCTTTACAGATGAGAAAATCTTCCATCTGAGGTGTCCACAGCGTATAGTTGGCAGCCGTGAGCATAATCATAGCTCCAGAAGATGAAATTGACTCTTCCATGGCCATTTTACACCTTCAATAATCTGTTTGGGACCAATCAGAGCTGAATATTGAAAAATAGACAGAACCGTTGCGTCCGGAACAGTCAAAAATTGGGGGGATTTTTTTTTTTGACGTGGCAGTCAACTGATGACGTGGCAGTTGACTTGCTGATGTGGCAGCTGACTGGGACCGCTGACTGGGCAAGTGACTGGACTGCTGATGTGGCGGATGGTTGGAGCCTCCTTGCTGATGTGGCGATGACGTGTCAGATGCGTGGCGACACGTCATCATCTTCAACCTCACTTTTTTTATTTTATTTTATTTTTTTTTTCAGAACTTGCGGAGGCTTTTCGGGGCAGCTCCGGTGTCCGTTTTTCGCCCGTAAGATATCACCATGACCGTCTCGACGAGACGAATCTAACGGTGTCCTCGAAATTGAATTTCGAGCATAACTCAGAAACTCGAAATTTCTACAAAAGCTCGGAAAAATTTGAAAATAAGCTCGAAAGCTTCAAACCAAGCTCTGGTACCACTTGTTGTGGTATCATCCCAAGATCATAAACATAATTTGAGAGAAAAACACGTTTCTATTACTCACAAGAATAAAAACACAAGAGATTTACAAACTCTAAACAAAAAACTCTCAAACACTCCACAACTCTTTCTTGGTTGTGTTTCAACACTCTCAAGGTTGATTGATCCCTCAAGAATGATTTGAAATGATGAAATGAGCACTCTATTTATAGATACAAGAAGGCACACCACATTTGACAAAAATGGTGTGAAAGAGGAAGGTTGGTGGATGGCATTTTTTCTTCAATGGTGTGCTTTACCATTCTTTCTCCTTTGGTGTGCTTGTGGTAGTTGGGAGAAGACATGCATGGAACTTTCAGTCTCAAGCTCCAAGTAGAGCTCGAAATCCAACACCATTGGAGGCAAAACCCGCGATGCTTGGAGAAGTTCATAGATGAGACACTCGATGCCGCTTAAAATCTTGAAAATCGCGACATTAGGGAAGTCCGATTTTTCCATTGGTGGAAGCTCTCGAGTAAGTTCATCGGTGGTAGCCGAGACAAGTTGTGTCTCGGAACTCAGTCCCACCTTCCCCACATTCTTTCTCTTCTT